CGCGGGCGGCACCGGGAGCGCGGGGGGCACTGCGACGGTTGCCTTCGCTGCCGAGCCTGTGCCCTTCCCGCCGCCGCCCCCGGGCGCGCTGGGGCCACCACGCCTGGCCGCGCTTAAGGATGAGCCGCAGACGGTGCCCGACGTGCCGAGTTTCGGCGAGAGCCCGCCGCTGTCGCCCATCGACATGGACACACAAGAGCGTATCAAGGCGGAGCGCAAGCGGCTGCGCAACCGCATCGCTGCCTCCAAGTGCCGCAAACGCAAGCTGGAGCGCATCTCGCGCCTCGAGGAGAAAGTGAAGACGCTTAAGAGCCAGAATACGGAGCTGGCGTCCACAGCGAGCCTGCTGCGCGAGCAGGTGGCGCAGCTCAAGCAAAAGGTCCTCAGCCACGTCAACAGCGGCTGCCAGCTGCTGCCCCAGCACCAGGTGCCCGCGTACTGAGCCCTCGCGCGGGGCGCATGCGCGGCCCCCCTTCCCGAGAGGCGGGCTTGCGTGGGGGGTCGTGGGTGCCTCGGACTCGGAGAGGGCGCTTCCCGGTAGAGGGACCCCCCCAGATGGTGCCAGGACTCGGAGAGGGCACCTCAGACTCGACAAGCTGGACCCCCTGCTCCTGGGGGGCAAGCGCATGACCCCCTCGCCCTCGCGCTGCCTCTGTCCTCTGCGCGCAGCCACCCTGTGTTGCACAAATCCGCGCGCCCGGCCGCTCCTTTGTACGTACCGCCGCCGAGGGGGGCTCCGAGGGGGCGCGGCCTCAAGCCCTGCGTTGCCTTTTACTTTTTTTTTTGCATTTGGAAGAGAGAACAGTGTTCGATTCTGCCCTATTTATGTTTCTACTCGGGAACAAACGTTGGTTGTGTGCGTGTGTGTTTTCTTGTGTTGGTTTTTTTAAAGAAATGGGAAGAAGAAAAAAACTCCCTTTCCTTGCTCTCTTCCCCCTCCCTTTTGTCCTTCCGACACCCCAACTCCCGCCCTTTTTTTTTTTTTTTCTGTTTTGTTTTGCTACGAGTCCACATTCCTGTTTGTAATCCTTGGTTAGCCCGGTTTTCTGTTTTCAGTAAAGTCTCCTTATGCCAGCTCTGCTCTCCGCCTCCTCTTTCCCCCGTCGGGGCCTTATGGGCTGGGCGGGGCCTGGCCCGCTCCCCTCCTCTCTCGCCTCATTCCCTCCTCCCTACGCCCCTCCGCAGAGGAGGGGGAGCGGGAGCGGGCGTCGGGTACGCTCCGCTCATCTGACGGGCGGCGAGCGCCATCTAGGCGCTCCCGGGCTCTGAGCCGGCTGTTGTCCGGGCTGGGCGGGGGCCGCTGGAGACTCCGACCAGCGTTTGGAATTAGCGAGCCTCGGGTATCCCCTTTGGGGTGGAGTGACTGCGGAATGGAAAGGAGACAGCTCTACCCCGAGGCAGGAAAGAAAAGATAAATTTTTAACTTCCTGGGCCTGTGTTTCACTGTGAAATGGGCAGAACAATCAAACCTATTCAGAAAGTTGTGAAGATTAAGACTTTACAGAGCAGTGCTTGGTTTACATTCTATACTCAATGTTTTTATTATCAGTTAATGGGTGGGGAAACAGTCTTAGGACCAGAAAAAAGGTGGCCCAGGTGGAATCTGGGCCAGGTAATCTGCCTCTGGCACTGGAAGTGGGGTACTTTCTGTGGTATCTCCTTTTTAAGGAACTGACTGGGAATCCAAAATTTTCCAAGTACTCCCTGAAAGCTCCCTCTCCACAGCATCCTATTCTCCCATTTTGAGGAAACTGAGTTGCAGAGAGATTGACTGGTTTGAGGTCATACAGCATTTTAAGGAACCTGTACAGGGACATTTATTTGGACCTTGGGTTTCTCACTTCCAGATTCTTGACTGCCAGGCTACTCTTTTCCACAGCCTCATCTGGGCTTTGCTATTGTGTGGGCCAAAGACTGAGTCCCAACTTGGGTGCTAATTTGCCACCTTGTGACCTCAGCCAAGTCTTGTCCCCACTCTGGCTTCTACCTCTGGTACTGTGTGTGAGCTGGGTTTGTGTACGTCCAGGTAACATCTCCCAGGCAGAAGTTAGAAGTGCTTGTGGCATGAACAGCAAGGAGATAATACTCAAGCACGCCTTGTGCAGCCCCCAATTTATAGAGAAGGGGAGGTGCAGGGAGGTTGCTAGATCTGCCCAAACTTTTTGTTCACAGCACTTCCAATGCCAAATATGTTTTTTTCCCCCTATACCAATTCTACAACTTTCCAGACACCAACCAAGTGCTCTACAGTTCAATTCTGACACTCTTAACGAGTTGGCACAGACCCCATAGGTGAATGGCTCAGTCCTGCAAGACTGTCCCCAGTACAGACACCAGCAGTTAAGTCCCAGGTTGTCACCTGTACTTCTGACCAATTAAGTGCAAATTGGGGATTTCCACGACCCACTCGTCAGTTTTGATAAATTTTCTAGGACAGCTCATAGGACCCAGGAAAGCACTTTACTTAACTAGATTACCAGTTTCTTATAAAGGATATACTTCAGGAACAGCCAGTTGGAAGAAATGCACAAGGGCAAGGTACAAGGCATGGAGCTTCCAGGCCACATCTGGGCTGCCAGCCTCCCAACACCTCAATGTGTTCATCAACCAGGAAGCTCTCTTGGGCCCCAGAGGTCCCATTGTATAAGCACGATTGATTAAATCATTAACCTTTGGTAATAACTTGAGTCTTAAGCCCCTCTCCCCTCCCAGGAGGTTTAGGAGGTGGGGCTGAAAGTTCCAACACACTAATCAAGCCTAGATCTTTCTGGAGACCAACGCATAGCTGGCCTCTTGCTCTGGCGCCCCCAGTGGCTCCCCAGGGAAGCCAGGCTATGTGGCTTTGGCAGGACCCTGCTGAGCTGAGGCCAAGGTGTGTGTCAGCTCCTGGCTTGCCAGCAGTGATTCACTCCAGGCCTAGGCTCAACTCCAGGAGGTGACTTGGGATGGTGTCCTCCCTTTCCTCTCCAGGACTGTGGCTTAGAGTCAATGCCCATTTTTGCCAGACCATGTGTGGGTCCCAAGGGGCCTTGAGCCCAGCCTCACCCAAAGGAGCCCCCATCTTCAGAGCCAGAGAGATACTGGCTGGCCTTTTAAGAAATTAAGTCAGAGCCTCCTTTGTTCTAAACCTTCTCATGGCTCTGGAGCGCTTCTCAATAAAACCCAAACTCTCCTACTCTTCTTCAAGGCCCCACCTGTGACTCCTTCCTATCCTCTTCTCTTTCCCCTCCAGCCATATTAGCTTCCTCTGTGTTCTCTCATACCCAGCTTGTTCCTACCCCAAGGCCTTTGCCTACACTGTGCCCGCCACCTGAGATTCTCTTCCTCCAGATCTCCCATGGCAAACTCCTTTCCCTGCGAGGCTCAGCCCATCCCACCTTCTCTTTGGTCTGTTCCTAGCAGTTTCACACCCCAAAATTATTTGAGTTGTGTCCCTAGGCCCAGATCAGGTCCCAGCCCAAAGTAAAAGCTCAGCAAATGCCCAAAGGATGAGAGCCTAAGGCTCCCTCCAGACACATGGAGGTGGAGATTTTGGGCTCCCCCTCTTTGCTCAGAGCCCTAACTTTCTGCTCAGGATGGGTAGGCAATACATAGCAACCACCATGACCCTCAGCCCTGACCTGGGTTCTTCCCCACCCCACCCCTGAGTCTGCCTTCTAGAATCCCCTCCTCTCAGGAGTTGGTGGCGATTGGCCAGAGCTTGGCTGTGAGTCACAAAGCCACCATAGCACCAGGGCCCCAAGGCTAGCCATTTGGGCTGGTGGGTTCAGCTTCGGGGGCAGGTGAGTGGGCTAATAGAGGGTTTGGTGGGGGGTAAATGGGGATCTGATCATTCTTCTCTGAGCCCCACTGTCCTCAGAGTCCCTCTGGGTTTTCTAGACCACTCCGAGAGGGGGATTAGCTCCTCAGCCCATTAGAGCAGGGGCACTTGTGTCCACAAAAGGCCTGATTGTGGGTTTGTCTGTTTGGGGACTCAGCCTTGTGAGTCTATCACATATCCTTGGGAGCCTGGGGAAGTGGTCTTAGCTCATGTGACATATAAGGAAACTGAGGCTTAGAGGGATTTACTCAAAATTGCCAAGCCCATCACTCAGCTTAAGTATCTGGGGACTCCTATTTCTCCTTCCCACTCCCTGTAATCTCATTTCTCTCGCTCTGTCATCTCTTTGCTCATTCTGGTTGAATTCGTCAAAAGGGCTGAACCATGTGGTTGATGAAATCCCAGACCCTGGGATGGACCAGTTCAGACCTTGAAGCTGCCATCTCCAAGTTCTAAAGCTTGAATCCATCTATCCATCCACCCATCCATCCACCCATCCATCCATCCATCCATCCATCCATGCATCCATCTATCCACAAACATCTATTGAGCACCTACTATGTGGACTGTTCTGGGCACTAGGGATTTAGGAGCAAAGAAAAGAAACAGACATCTCCACCTATGAGAAGCTCATAGTCTAATGGGGGAGGCAAATCAGAACTAAGACATATAGTTCGTTGGATTCTCCAGGCCTCAGTTTCCTCCACTGTGAAATGGGGACAATGACTGTGCCCACCTCCAGGGGAGCTGGCCTCAGCCCATATGCTGTATGACTCAGTTCACACTGACACCCATTCTGAATGGGCTGGGCTGTCTTGCGGCTGGGGTGAAGACTGGGCAAGAGGCTGGACATTTGGGCCATCGAACAGGTGAAGCCAGAATGTTCATTGTAAAGGAGAGGGTGCATGGGTCTTTGAAATTGATTCTGAAATTGATTTGAAATTGATTCTGGTCATCTCTATCTTGGAGAGTTCGGTCCATTATCATCTGATATGGCTAAATTTAAGTCTACCATTTGGCTATTTTTATTTCTGTTATCTCCAAGTTTTAGTCATCTATTCCCTCTCTTCTGCCTTCTTTTGGATTATTTGAATGTTTCTAGGCTTTAAATGCACCTCTCAATATGTACTCTGACAAAGGAGTTCTTATAATTCTCATTTCAATAAGTATGTTAACATTTTTCAGTAGAGGGCGCTGGTGAGAGACTGCAGGATTTGTATGCAGCCATGTGCCTTAGGAAAGATGGGAGATAAAAACATATAGATTTATATAAATATATTAAATTATTTAAATTAGAATTTTTTTTAAATGTGATTTAAACAACACACATTTTGAAAAATTAACATCCTTATTTGTTAAAGCTTGGCACTAAGTGTGGAATTTTAAGTTTAATATATATATCTATATAAAGATATATATGTATATATATCTTTGTATGTATATATACGTATTTTCTTTTAAGTTAGACTCTCTTGGGTCTTCTAGGTAGACACCAGCTAGCTCTACTTTAAAAATATTTGCATTGATTTTTCAAATCCTTGTCATCTTGCTTTGCTATAACCACCCAAAACAGTGGCCGACTGTGCATCTTGTTTCTTCCTTTAATGAAAACGACTTTAAGATTTTACCATTTAAAATGACATTTGCTCAAAGAGGAGGCAATACTTCCCAACTCATTTTATGAGGCCAATATTACTCTGATACCAAAACCTGGTAAGGATAACACAAAAGAAGAAAACTACAGACCAATATCTCTCATGAACACACATGCAAATATCCTAAATAAGATACTGTGAACCGAATACAGCAACATATTAAAACGATTATACACTACGATCAAGTGGGCTTCATCTCAGAGGCACAGGGATAGTTCAACATATGCAAATCGATTAAAACAAGATACTAATGAACCGAATACAGCAATATATTAAAAAGATTACACACCATGAGCAAGTGATTTCATCCCAGGGGCACGGGGATGGTTCATCATATGCAAATCGATTAATGTGATACACCACATTAATTAAAAAATAAGAATCATATGATCCTATCAATTGATGCAGAAAAAGCCTTCGACAAGATAAAGCATCCATTTATGATCAAAACACTTAACAAAATCGGTATGGAAGGAAAGAATCTTAACCTAATAAAGGTCATATGTGACAAACCCTCAGCCAACATTGCACTTAATGGTGAAAAACTAAAAGATTTCCCTCTAAGATCAGGAACAAAGCAAGACTGTCTAATATCGCCGCTGTAATTCAGTAGAACATTGGAGGCACTTGCAAATGCAATCAGGCAAGAAAAAGATATAAAAGACATCCAAATAGGAAACCAAGAAGTTGAACTGTGACTATTTGCATATGACATAATTTTTCTATATAGAAAGCCCTAAAGATGCCACAAGAACACTACTAGAAATAATAAGCAAATGCATTAAAGTCTCTGGATACAAAATCAATGTTCAAAAATCCATAGTGTTCCTATCATCTAATAATGAAGCGTCAGAAAAAGAAGTGGAAAAAATAATTCCTTTTGCAATTGTAACAAAAAGAATAAAAATACCTAGGAATAAATCTAATGAAACATGTAAAGGACCTATATGATGAAAATTATAAGACCTTAAAAATGAAGAAGATACAAAAAAAATGGTAAGATATTTCGTGTTCTTGTATTAGAAGAATTAACATAGTTGAAATGACCTTATTACCTAAAGCCTTATATAGATTTAATGCAATCTCCATCAAAACTCCATCAACATTTTCTTAAAGAAATAAAACAAAAATTCATCAGATTTATATAGAAGCACATATATGGAAGCACAGAATTGCCAAAGCCATCCTGAGAAGAAAGAATGAGGCTGGAGCCATCACTCTATCTGACTTCAAATTATACTATAAAGCCACAGCAATCAAAACAGCTTGGTATTAGTAGATAAATAGGCACATGGACCAGTGGAACAGAATCGAGAATCCAGAAATAAATCCATATTTATATGGCCAAATAGTTTTTGACAAAAACACCAAAAATTTTCAGTTGAGAAAGGAATGTCTCTTCAATAAGTGCTGCTGGGAAAACTGGAAAGCCACCTGCAAAGGAATGAAACTAGACTGTTGTCTATCACCACACACCAAAATTAACTCAAAATGGATTAAGGACCTGAATATAAGTCCTGAAACAATAAAATGCATAGAAGAAAACATAATAACTAAACGCAAGGACCTTGGACTTAAAGAGGATTTTATGAATTTGACCTCAAGAGCAAGGGAAGTAAAAGCTAAAATAAATGAATGGGACTACATCAAACTAAAAAGCTTCTGCTCAGCAAAAGAAATTGTCAACAAAGTAAAAAGACAACCATCCAAATGGGAAAATGTATTTGCAAGCAACGCCTCCGATAAGGACCTAATAGCCAAAATATAAAAAGAACTCATACAACCTCAGTAACAATAAAAAAGCAAATGATCCAAGCAAAAGATGTGCAGAGGACCTGAAGAGAAACTTTTCCCTAGAGGACTTACAAATGGCCAACAAATATTTGAAAAGATGCTCAACATCACTAGCTATTAGGGAAATGCAAATCAAAATCACAATGAGATATCATCTCACATCTCTTAGAATAGCTATAATCAACAGGACAAGTAATAACAAATGCTGGAGAGGATGCAGAGAAAAAAGGACCCTCATACACTGCTGGTGGCACTGCAAATTGGTATAGCCACTGCGGAGAACAGTATGGAGGTTCCTCAAAAAACTAAGAATTGATCTACCATATGATCCAGCAATCCCTCTACTGGGTATTTACTCCAAAGATTTGAAAACCTATATCTGAAAAGATATTTGCACACTGATGTTCATAGCAGCATTATTCACGGTGGCCAGGGCATAGAAGCAACCAAAGCGTCCTACTATAGACGATTGGCTAAAGAAGCTGTGGTACATATATACAACGGAATATTACTCAGCCATAAGAAGAGATGAAATACTGCCATTTGTGACGACATGGATGGACCTCGACATAATCATGCTAAGCTAAATAAGCCAGACAGAAAAAGTTAAAAATCACATGATGTCACTTATATGTGGGATATAAACCTAAAACCAACAAATGAACAGGACAAACAAACAGAGACTCAGGGACATGGACAATGGACTAGTGGTTACCAGAGGGTAGGAGGTGGAGGAGGAGGAGGAGGGGAGAGGTAGAAGGGGTGTAAAGGGAGTCAAATATAGAGGGATAGGGGAAGGGTGAAGTGGGTAAAGGGAATCAAATATATGGTAGCTGAAGGAAACTGGACTTTGGGTGGTAATCACACAATAGAATATATAGATGTCAAATTATAATGTACACCTGAAAATTATATAATTGTATTAACCAATGTTACCCCAATAAACTTAATTTAAAAAAAAATAAAGTGACGTCTGCTGTGGTTTTGTGGTTAGCCTTACTGTCTTTAGATACTACACTATCTATTTTTATAAGTTCTTATTAGAAATTGCTACTGGTTTGATAAAACACATTTTGGGCACTTCTTGAAAAATCATATGGCTGCCTTTTCAATTCTGGATGGGATGTGATGGTTTACCTTAGGGATTTATAGATATCGAACCATTCTTACATCCTGCAATAAGTCCTCCTTGGCTATAGTATTATTCTTTTGATAAGTAGCCATGTTTATTTAGAATATTTGCATCTTATCCATGAGTGAGCACTTGATTATTGTAACATTGATGTAACATTGTTTTAAATATGTTGTTATTTCTATGTTTGAGTGAAGGAGGTCAGGTTCCCACATCATATCATTCTGCTGCCTTGACTCAAAGGCTAAACTTCTTAATTTTCTAATTGAACTATTTTTTATTAGAGTCCCCCATAAGCTCCCCCATACACACACAATTATTTGTCAATTTGGTGTTTATGCTTCTAGATTTTTATATGAATATTCCAATGTGTGTGTGTGTGTGTTTGTACAGAATAATTTTTGAAAGTCAAGTCATATGGTTCCTTGTGAGTTTGCAACTCGCATTTTTCATTGAAGATTATGCTGTGATTATTTGCTCACATCATTACATATTCCTCAGTATCACTTAAAAGTATTTTGGTGGTGTTATGAAGATCATGCATAGAGAAAGACACCCAGTTTAGATTTTTACAATCTAAACAAATCCACCTGACTGTCCCCCAAACTCCCTCATACCTCTTCTCAGCCACACATGTCCTGAATTCTAATAGCAGAGCTTAACTTCCCCTGTTCCTTTTTAAATTTTCTATAATTAGAATAACCAGTTTGTTCTCTATTTTGTCTTTTACTCAAAATAATGTATGTGAGATTCATGCATATCATTGAGCTCATTTTCCTTGCCGTGTTGAACAGGATTCATTGATTTATAAATAAGTCAATATTTCTATTGGTATTTCTATTGATATATGATTAACATACAGTTGTTTTATCTATTTTTCTGTTGATGGGCATTTGGATGGTTTCTGGTTTGGGGTGAGTATAAACACTTAGACCTTGAGTATATTCGTCAGTGAGGATTGAGTTGCCTTCAAGATATTGATAGTTTCCCCAAGTGGTGCAGATTTTTAATTTTTGTCATTCTTATGGATCTGCACACCATTTCTGATGGCTGGATAGCACACCATTGTACAAGTGTTCTGTTGATGAATGTAAGCAACCTCCTATTACTAAGCATATGCTTTGTTTTCAGTTTTTACTCTTCTAAACAATACAGTGATGAACATCCTTGAACATCCTTCTTTATACACTTGTAACTGACACTCTCGCAATCACCTGATTGGTTATTTCCAGTTGTTTTGTTTTTACATACAAAACAACACTGGGATAAGATTTTTGGATATTCATCTTTGTGGACTTAAAATTTTTTTGTTTTTCATTTTTTTGAGATTTTAGGGTTTTTTTGCTTTTAACATCTCTTCTCACGTAGATCTTGAGGACAGAGCCAGCCCAAGGCAGTGTTGCTGCACGTTGCATGAGATGAAGGACTGAAGGCTGCTTACTCTTGCAAGCTGGGTTCTGAGATTGCACCTTCTCTTTCTGCTCCTCCTCCAACTCTATGACCCTCCAAGGTATGAAGATGGCTGGGCAAGGGCTCTGGCTGGTCCAGCTGGAATGGGGGACTTCTGTCAAATAGGCTCCAGGTTATGCATCAGGATTGCTTTACAGTGTCCCATCTCTCTGGTACTTCTGAAAACTACAGTTATCCCCTCATTTTTCCTTTACCATCCTTCTATCTGCCATTGATCTATCCATCTACCTGTCATCCACCATCCATTCACTGATCCATCCATCTATTCATCAGTCCACCAATGGTCTATTCACCAATTTCATCAGTTCTCTTCATTCATACACCCATTTTTCTAATCAGATTTCAGCCATCCATCCATCCATCCTCCCACCTACCCACCCATCCATCTATCCATCCATCCATCCATCCATGCATCTATGCATCCATGCATCCATGCATGTATCCATCCATGCATCCATACATCCATCCATCCATCCATATATCCATCCATGTGTCCATTTCTTTATTTATTAATTTGTTTATAAATTCAACATTTACTCATCCATTTACTCATCTATTCTTCTGCTCAACCCTTCTTCAATCCCTCCAACCAACCCATCATTCATTCATCCACTGATTTATTCATTCAGAACCTATTCATGCATCCATCTGTCCATCCAATTTCCAATCTACTTACCCACTAATTTATTAGTCAAGTTAGCCACTCACCCAACACTCAATCATTTACAGCCTGGAGCCAGGCCCTATGACTGAGATGGGGGCACAGAAATGACTCAGACTTAGTTCCTGCCCTCTAGGAATTTACAATCAATGGGGAGAGGCAAATAACAATAACACACCCACACCCACACATAGGACATTCCCAAAACAATGTGATCAGTGTTGTAGGTACAGAGGAAGTTTGTAAAGCAGGTAGGTGTTAGGTATTGAGTAGGTGAGAATGTGTACTATGTGTCAGAGTTGAAATGGCCACAGGATGATGAAAAAGACACGGGTACCACAAACCACCTGGGCAAGTGGCCAGGAGGCCAGGATAGAGAGGGCCTGCAAAGGAGAAGAGGAAGATTACAAGGTTCCAGGGTGAATGCTTGGTCCAGCTAGGACCCCTCTTGTCTGCACGACTTCGCTCCCTGACCACCTCCCTGCCACCCCCCACAGGCAGAGTTGATCCGCCTAGGAACCAAGACAATGCAGCAAGCAACACACTTCCGGTTGTCACCCAGTAGGCAGAGCTCGTATCAGCCTCAGCCCATCCCCAATCTCCAAGACAAAGTGGGGACACTATGTTCACAGCCCCAGTGTGAGCCACCTGCATCCAGGGAGACCCTCCTGCAACAGCTGGACAAGAACAAGATAATGCCTTCCCATGTCCCACGCCTCCGGGCTGTGGTCGAGAGCCAGGCCTTCAAGAATATCCTGGTAGATGAGATGGACATGATGCTGTCTCGCGCAGCCACCCTCATCCAAGCCAACTGGAGAGGCTACCGGCTCCGGCAGAAGCTGATCTCCCAGATGTTGGCAGCTAAGGCCATCCAGGAGGCCTGGCGACGCTTCAGCACCAGGCGCCTCCTCCGGTCTGGCAAGGCAGTAGAAAAAAAAGTGAGCATAGATGAAGGGGACATCCCTTACCACCAACCCCAGCAGGTGCGGTTTCAGCATTTGGAAGAGGGCAGGTACCTTCCGGCCCCACCCATCATGGTGAGTAAGGAGACCCAGTTTCCTTCTGCTGACCACCTAGCTGTCTGCGCCCATGAGCTGGACTTGCTGCAGCCCCCGGGCACTCCACAGCCTGGCATGCAGGCCCCTAGTGCCCTTGAAGCCTCCAGTGTCATTTTCTTGCCACACCAGAATGTCTCCATGAGACTCCCGTGTCCAGTGAGTCTAAATGCAAAGTGCCACCCATGCCTGATGACAAGAACAGTTAGAAGTTCCAGCCTTGTCCACATAGATGGGGACATGATGAAGACCAAGCAAGTGACTGCCAGAACCAACAAGGCAGGATCCCCAGGGCCACCACCATCTAGAAGTTATGCCCAGACACTTTATGGACCCCTCAAGACTCAGACTCAGACTCAGGCCCCTGTGGAAGCAGAGGTCCTCAAAGCCCCACCCCAGGCAGGCCCAGCACCTGTGATGACCAAGACCCCAGTGCCCACCATAACAATGACCAAGACCCCACCCCAGGTGTACCCGGCAGCTGCAGTAACGAAGACCCCACTCCACTCATGCCTGGCAAACATGATGAACAAAAGCTCACCCCAGCCATGCCCAGTGCCCACAGTAACAATAGCCAAGACCCCACCCCAGGTGTACCCGGCAGCCCCAGTGGCCAAGACCCCACTCCAGTCATGCCTGGCGGCCTTCTTGAACAAGATCCCAACCCAGCCATGCCCAGTACCCACGATAATGATGACAAAGTCCCAACCCCAGCCATACCCAGCAGCCCCAATGACAAAGATCCCAGTTCAGATGCGACCAACAGCCTCAATGACCAGCACTGCATCCCAGACACGACCGACTACTGTGGTGGCCAAAATCCCACCCCAGATATGCCTGTTGACCTCAATTATCAAGGCCCCAACCCAGACATGCCCAGTACCTGTGATGGCCAAGACCCCACCCCAGACATGCCCAGTACCCACCATGACCAAGACCTCGCCACAGACGTGCCCAGTATCCACCATGGCCAAGACCTCGCCAAAGATGTGCCCAGTACCCACCGTGGCTAAGACTCTGCCACAGACGTGTCCAGTACCTACGATGGCCAAGACCCTGTTTCAGACATGCCAAGTGCCTGTGATGGCCAAGATCCCCCCACAAATGTGCCCAGTGCCCATGATGGCCAAGGTCCCGCCTCAGACGTGCCCGATGTCCGTGATGGCCAAGACCCCACCCCAGATGCGCCCAGTGGCCACAATGGCCAAGACTCCACTGCAGACATGTCCGACGGCCACGATAACCAAGACCCCATCTCAGACACTTCCAGGGTCCTCAATGACCAAAGCCCCTCCCCAGACACGTCTGGCGGCCATGATCACCAAGACCCCAGCCCAGTTACGCTCAGTGGCCGCCATCCTCAAGACCCTGTGCCTGTCCCCACCCGCAGCTGGAAATCTGAAGGCTTCACCTCCAGCAGCCATGGCAGCTGGGATTCCCAGCACCTTGTCCCACACATGTCTGAACAGACCAAAGACCAAGGCTGGGGTGACTGCGAAGCAAACGACAGGTGTGGTCAAAGTCTCATCCCACTCACACTTGACTGAGGGAAAGGTGAAATACTGCTCCCCACGACATCTGGGGGCTGGGACTCCCAAGGCTCCAGCCAGGCCTCTTTTGGAAGCTGAGAAAGTCAAGGGCTTCTCCCAGAAACAGGTGAAAACAGAAACTGTGTCTAATACCGGTATGGCCATGGAAGTGCCCAGGACTTTGCCCTGGGCAAAAGTGGCTGAAGATAAGAGCAAGGGGTCATCGCAGGCACACCTGAGGATGGGTGTCGTGAAGGTCCAGTCCCAGGGATACATGCCTGTAGAAGCAGCTGTGGTCCCGCCACAGGCACAGGTAGCCACATATCCGGCCAAGACCCTGCCCCAGGCACAACCGGCCACCTGTTCAACCACAACCTCACCCCAGGGACATCTGCTCACCGAGCTGACCACGGCCTTGCCCCAGGCACATCTGAGTACATGTCTGTCCAAAGCTTCATCCCAGACGCATCCACCTGCCAAGCTGACCAAGACCCCGTCCCTGGACCATCTGGGCACATGTCTGACCAAGACGCAGTCCCAGGCACATCTGGCCACAGGAGCAATAAAGGTCCAATCTCAAGCATATCTGCCTACTGGGCTGACCAAGGCACAGTCCCAAGCCCACCTGGTCACAGAAACAGCCAAGTGCCTCTACGCCGCCCACCAGGCTGCTGAGCTCAGCAGCAAGACCCAGTCCCAGCCACTCCTGGCTGGGTACAAGGCCTCTACACAGCCCTGCCAGCATATTGGCTCCCTTGGCACTTTTTCCAGAGCCAAGCCAGAGGACAGACTGACCCAGCTTCCAGCTACCAGTCACGTGCAGGGCAGAGCCACCCAGGGGCCACGCCAGGGTGCCTCTGAGACCCAGAGCATGCTGGTGCCTTTGCTGGCATCTGCTGGACACCCCGCATGCAATGTTGAATCCTGGGGTGACAGTGGGGCCACCCGGACGCAGCCATCAACAACCAGCCCAGCTGCACCCTGCCAGGAAGAGCTGGCGACCTCCCAGCTTACCTCCCTGTGTGCTGAGCTGGCTGCTATGCTGGGCTCTCAGGAGGACCTCCGCACCCAGCTGGCAAAAGCCCTCTCCCAGGGGGAAGTGAGGGCGGCACTGAACCAGGCCCTGTCCAAGGAGGTCCTAGGGGCTACAATGGCCAAGGCCCGGCCCCAGGGCATGCTGGGCACAGCGCTGGTGAAGGCACTGTCTTGGGGCGAGCTTGGTGCTGCCCTGTCTCGAGTCCTTTCCCGGGGTGAACTGCGGGCAGAACTCACTAAGGCCATGCAGGGCAAACTGGTGGACATCCTCAGCAAGGCCCTGACCGAGGAGGAGCGGGCCGCCCTGAGCCAGGCCCTGTGTCAGGGTGAGCTGGGTGCTGTCTTGAGCCAGTCCTTGTCTCAGGCTGCCCTCAGGACCAGACTCGTCCTCCCTAAGGTTGCTGCCGCGAAAACGGCGGGAAGCGGGATGAGGATGACGCCGGCCCCAGTGGAGGTGGACTACCGGGGGAGCCCGTCAGCGGCATGGGGGCCCACTTTGGGCCCTGTGAGACCACAGCCCGGCAAGGTCAGGGTTCCCCGGGATGGGGCCTGGGAGGGCTTCGTCACAGGTTGGCCCACTGGGCTTTTGGAGGAGATGGGGGATGGGGCCATGGTCAGGGGGTCGCCCTGCTTGTCCATGGTCTCTGTGGGTGCCTCCTTGACTGATAGGGTGATCACCACCATTCTTCAGTATCCTCTGATCACTGCCCTGGGCCCTAATTTGTCATGGGAGATGGGGCCCCTCAGGGACTCCTCCTTAAACCTATTTCTGAGCCCCAAGGTCAGTGAGGAAAATGTGTGTCTGCACCCAGGGGCCAACGAATTGGCATCAAATCTCAATCCTGTGGCAAGTAATGTAGGCCCTAATTTGCCTGAGCCACACCCGCTACAGCTGCCCCACCCTCTGTGGCAGCCACTCGTTGCCAATGGTGTGGCTCCAAGTACCATCCGGCCACCAGTGGCCAGTGGCACAGCCCCAAGCTCCCACAAGCCACATGTGACCAGCAGGGTGGCCCCACGTCTGTCAATGTCGTCAGGGGAGGGCAGGGTGGCCCCAGGTAAGCTTTCTGGCACTGCAGGTGGTGGGAGGGCCACCCATTCCCACCATTGTGTCACCACCTTTGGGGGGTCTACTTGTTGGTGTCAGCCCTCTGAGGTCAGCAGGGGGCCCCCTGGGGTGTATCGGCCATCAGCAGCCAAAGGCCTGCAACAACCATCCATGGTCCCTGAGAAGACCATGCAGAAGACTCAGTCCCCAAATCATAAACAGGCCTCCACGGGCACTAGCGAGATGATCAACAAGGTGACCACATGTCTACCGTGGGCCACTACAGTGAGCAAAGTATCCCTAACCCAACCACAGACCCCCAAGGCCTGTGAAAGAACCCCAGGCTCCATGGCTCCTGGTCATCGCTGGGCACTTAAGAGTCAGGGAGACCCCAGTCTGTGGGAAGCCTCCCCTGTCAGTCACTTAACGCCTACCCATCCCCATACAGCCATCTCTAGGCAGGAGAAGAATCAAACACGGGGTACCATTTCTGGTGCGAGCTACCCACAGGAGCTGGTGACTGGCCACATACTTAGTGAAATGGTGACTCGTTTGCCACAGAATTCAAACAATGACCTGGCCAAAAGCTTCTCTCAGGGCTCCACAGACTATGGCCTAAATGTGAGCAATTCCCAGAGCTCGTCATGCAGCTGCAGCTCACTCAGCCTTTCCTCCACATCTGTGGAAAGCCTGACCACTGTCGACCTGGTGGAGAAAGAGTCCGGGGAGGCCAGAATGGGTGGGGACCTTCTCTCTGGGGAGACCACAGGGAGGTCCCAGAGGCCTGGGGACCTGGAAGAGACAGAGAGAGCGGGTCATGGACACATGACCCCAAACCCCTGCCACCCGCCTTCCTCAGCCTCGGAGCAGATCCCTATTCTGCACCATAGTGCAGTGTCCAGTCATGTGACCTTGAGTGTCCACTGGAGCTCAAGTGGTCAGGATGAGAGAGATATATCCTCAAGCCAAAGCTCCATGGGTAGCTTGTGCCAGAAACCCTACAGGACAAGACTGAAGAGAAGTCTGTCTTTGGGTAATGGGGTCCCTCCCTTTTATCAGCAGCCATCTGTGACCAGTAGGTTGACCCCAAGCCCATCCCAGACATCAGTAGCCTGTAAGGTAACCCTCAGCCTAGGCCAACCACCTAAAGCCTGTGGGGTGGCCCCCAGCCTAGCTCAGTCATCTATGACCTGTAAGGTGGCTCCCAGCCTAGCTCAACCATCTATGACCAGCGGGGTGACCCCTAGCCTAGCCCATTCAACTATGGGTAATAGTGTGGCCCCCAGCCTAGGCCAGCCATCTGTGATGAGTGGTGCAGGTTGTGCGCTTAGTCAGCCAATGTGGGCTCCTGGGGTGGGTCCAGATCTATCGTCATCAAGGGTGAATGCAGTGGCCCCTTGTCTGCGTCATCCATCCTTTCTGACTGAAGTCACGTTGAGTACACTACATCCATCTGGGGCTAGCGGCATGGGACCGGAGCTGAGTCAGCCATCTGTGACCCCTGGGGTGGATCCATGTCAAGATCCTCTGATGGGTCATGGGGTGGCCTCAGACCTCCAGGCCCCTGAGCTCAGCAAAGTGTCTTCTGGGTTTAATCAGCCACTTGGTGTTGGTGGGAGGCACCCAAGAACAACAGAACATTCTGCTGTCACTGTTTCAGCCCCAGACCTCGACCAGGTATCTATGACCAGTGGAGAGGCATCTTGTCTAGGCCAAGGAACTAGGCTATCTCAGGGCATTCTTTTTGGAGGCATGGCTACAAGCGCGTCTCAGGGCACTGTGGCTGCTGGCATACTCCCAAATGTGTCTTGGAGGACCCTAGCTGCTGGCAAGTTCCTAAGTATGTCTCAGGGACCTATGTCTCCTGGAGTGACAAGGAGTATGTGCCAGAGAAGTGTAGCAACTGCTATGGGCCCAAGGCAATCTCAGGTGGGCAGTGACATGGCTCCAATGGCATCCCAGGCCTCTGTGACCGGTGCCCCTTTGGTTCATGAACAAGCCTCAGGGGTGGGCCCTGGCTCCTCTCCAGCTTTAGTGGCCAACAGACTGGGTCTGAGTCCATCCAAGTTTCCCCTCGACAATGCGGGCCCTGACATATCTCAGGTAAATGCTGATCTCCCAGTATCTATGGACAACCAGTGTTCTCCCGTGTCCACAGCTACCACATCCAGTTACCAACAATCAAATTCTTTTAGCCAGGAGCCTGTGATGGGCACGGCAAGTCTTTTGAGGCCAGGTTCTGTGGCCAATAGGATGACCACAGCCATGGCCCCAGGTACTGTGGCCAGTGGCATGGCCCCCAGCCTTTCCCAAGGGTCCGTGATCAGGAGTGTGGGCCAGAGCCTTCCTCCAGAGTCTGTGATCAGTGATGTGGCCCCCAGCCTTGCACTAGGTTATATGGTCAATTGTGTGGCTCAGACCCTTCCTCCAGGGTCTGTGATAGGTGGCCTGGGCCAGAGCCTTCCTACAGGGTCTGTGATCAATGGCATAGGCCAGAGCCTTCCCCCAGGGTCTGTGATCAGTGGCATGGGCCAGAGTCGTCCTCCAGGGTCTGTGATCGGTGACATGGGCCAGGGCCTTCCTACAGGATCTGTGATCAATAGCGTGGGCCAGGGCCTTCCTACAGGGTCTGCGATCAGTGGCGCGGGCCAGAGCCATCCTCCAGAGTCTATGATCAGTGGCACAGGCCAGAGCCTTCCTACAGGGTCCATAATCAGTGGCATGGGCCAGGGCCTTCCTCCAGGGTCTGTGATTGGTGGCATGGGCCAGAACCTTCCCCCAGGGTCTGTGATCAGTGGTGTGGGCCAGAGCCTTCCTATAGGGTCTGTAATGGGTGGCATGAGCCAGGGCCTTCCTACAGGGTCTGTGATTGGTGGCATGGGCCAGTGCGTTCCTCCAGGGTCTGTGATTAGTGCCATGGTCCAATGCCTTCACCCAGGATCTGTGATCAGTGGCGTGGGCCAGGTCCTTCTTCCAGATCCCATGGCTTGTGTGGTGGCCCACAGCCTCCCTCCAGGTTTTGTGGTCAGTGGTGTGGCTCAGAGCTTTACTCCAGGTTTTATGGCCAGTGGCATAGCCAGAACCCTGCCTCCAGGTTCTGTGGTGAGTGGAGTGGGCCCAAGTGTCTCTTCTGTGGCCTCTAAGGTGGTCCCAGCATTTATGGGTGCAGAACTGAATCAGGGTCTGGTTCTGGGGTCCACAACTAGTGCAGCTAGTTGTGGTCCACCCTCCACAGTTGGAAGCGTGGCCCACAGCCTTCCCCAGGGGTCCATGCTCATTGGACTCACCCCCCGTCCTTACCATGGAGCTCTGTCTGGGGAGGGGTCTATATCCCCCTTCCAAGCATCGCATGCCACTGGCATGGCTCAAGTTCACTCCAGTGCCTTAGAAGCTAGTGGCAGAGCCAGTGGAGTTAACCAAGTGCCTACAGTTCTGCAAAGAGCCTCACAGTTGAGTCACACTCTTAGTACAATGGCATTTGAGACGAGAGATGGCCAAGCTGTGATGAAACCAGAGGACGTAGACGAGGCCCTGTCCCAGGGGTCCAGATCCAGTAAGGAGTCCATGGTCCTTGAGGCAACCCCATGGGTATCCGAGAATCCCCTAGCATCTGACATTGACTATGGCCACAAAGTCCTGGCGGAGGACAAGACTGTTGCCAAAGGACAAAGGCTACCATCGGAGGGGGTGGCTCCCAGCCAAGCCAAGTCTATGATCAGTGGCATGGCCCCTGTCCCAAGTTTTGCCAAGTATGCCAAGGCCAGCAATGTCACCCTAACTCTGCAGCAAAGGTCAACCACCAGTAGGGGGACCCCTAGTTCCCATTTTGTGGCTGCTCATGAGATCCCCAGTGTGCAGATGGGGTCCGTCAAGGGCACAGGGGTCCCCTTGGCTAATCAGGTGTCAGTGGCTCACATTGTGCCCCAGAGCTCCTTGGCCACTCACATCCTCCAGAGCCCCTCGGCCACTCACATGCCCCAGGGTCATTCCCATGAGACGGTGGCTTCTATTGTAGTTGCGGGGTCACCGCAGCTGGCCCATGGCAGTTCTGTGTCTGGGCTTGGGACCACAAGCACTTCTCAGAGGTCAGGGGCTACCAGTGTGGGCTCACATGTGCTGCCATATCCATCCAAGATCACCAAGACGGCATCTAGTGGGCTCCAAGTGGAAGCTGTTCCCAGCGCACTCCAGAAGCCAGTGTCTGGGAACCTGTCTCAGAGCAGCCATCACCAGCCCCTTGGCCCTAGAAAGTCCTACACATCCATGCATGGTAGCTTTGTTGCCAGAACACTAGATGGTTCTGTGGCCAAGACTGAGCCCTCCCAGCAGGTGGGGGAGCATGCCTCCAGGTCCGCACAGGAAGGTCTCAAAGGTTCCGTGGATGCACTCCCAGCCATAACACCAATTATCCATACTGGTCAGGGGCATGACATGGCCATCCCTAGGCTGCACCATAGGGTTCGTAGGGTGTCTCTGGGCTACGAATCTTCACCAAATGGTTCCCGGCGGTCCCTTATAAACTGGGAGTCACTACAGGGACCTCAGGATTTCCATAGCGCCATCACTCCTGTGGACAGTCACACGGTACCCCTGACTCCCACTATACTCCAGGGCCCAGTGGATGCCGGTGTGGCTGGTGGCAAAGCATGGAACTCTGCAGTCCCCAGTGTCGCGGTTGGCCCCATGAACAGTGCCGTGGCCCCTGGCGGTGCATGGGAACCACCCACACGCGCTGTGCCGTGGGATGCCGTGGGCAGCAAAGCGGCGGTGGATCCCAGACAGTCGGGGAAGCTGGTGGCATCGATGCACGTTGTGGAGAAGATAATTGTCCAAGCCGTAGTTACTATCCAGGCATGCGCACGTGGCTATCTGGTGCGCCGTACCATCAAGGTGTGGCACCAGTGGGCCATCATTATCCAGGCAGCCTGGCGTGGCCATTGTGTGCGACGGGACCTGGCCCAGCTCTGCAGAGCTGCCACCATCATCCAGGCCGTGTGGCGAGGATACCGTGTCCGACGGAGCCGCACCCAGCAAATGCTGCCCCCGGGCACGTGGGCCAAGGTGGGCGGTAGGGCCAAGTCAAGCTCTGACCACCGCTGCTTCCAGTCCTGCCAGCCTCACGTCTGTACTCTCTGCCAGTCACTGAGCCCTGGGCTGGGGAGCCCGCCCAGTGTGGTGATGCTTGTGGGTTCCAGCCCCCGCACGTGCCACATGTGTGGCCATACTCTGCCTACACGGGTGGTGCAGGGCTTGGGCCGGGGCATCATGGGCCAGGCAGACATTCCATGGGGCTATGACAACCAGCTGACCCACCAGAGCCCCCAGCAGCTCCATGGCCTGAACAAGGCAGCCACGGTCATCCAGGCCGCCTGGAGGGGCTTTGTTGTACGTCGCCGGCTAAGGCAGCAGCAGTTAGCAGCCAAGATGCTTCAAGCCAACTGGCGTGGCCACTATACCCGGAACTCTCTCACCACAGATGCACTCTTGGGGCCAGCTGCGTGGGACAACCCACAGAACATGCAGTGGCCAGGAGTCTAGGATCTTGGCTGCCCAGTGCAGGGACACCAAGGGAGGTGTCATGTGGATCTCTGGGTCTAATAAATAAAGCCCTCCAAAGCCTGGGTCTTGGTCTACCTGTGCTCATGGGGGCAACTCAAGCATGGTTGGGGGAAAATGGAGGTTCTGGAACTTCCAACCACACAGTTGGTACCTGCAGTCTGTGTCTGGGATAGGGACGCAAGCCCTTCCTGGAGGTCAGGGGCCTCCAGTGTGGTCTCACTTGTGCTGCCGTATCTGTCCATGACTAGTAGGGTGGCATACAGTTGGTTCCAGATGGAAGGCATCCCTAGAGCACTCCAGAAGCCAGTGTCTGGGGACCTGGCCTAGAATGGTCATCACAAGTCCTTTGGCCCTAGAAAACCTAATGGGTGCATGCATGGCCTTGTTCAGGAAATGCTAGAGGGTTCTAGCCACATACTAATTTGGGGGGATGGTAGGCCCTCCCCAAGGGGCCCTAGTCTGAGTAAAAGAGAGCCAGACACAGATGTCCCTAGCCCCCAGGGTCGAAGACAGGGCAGGGAATGGGAGAGGCAGCTGCAGGCACCTAGAGGGGGCAGCCTGGCTGGAGGAGGGGCAAAGATGGTGAGGGCATGGGTTTGAGGCAGCTATGGAGGGGACCACAGAGTGGTGGAGGATGGGGAACTGGAAGGGGCGGTGGTGCCCTGAAGGGATGGGCAGAATTTGAGGACTTCAGGGTCTAGCCAAGGCAAGATTTTTAGGCAAGGCAGGGGTCCAGGTAGAGAGAAGGGAAAGAATGACATCCTTGGGAATGGTAGTGTCCCCCAGGGGCTCCATGTCTTGAAATCCCGCCTCGGCCTCTCCCCTAGGCAGCATGCATACAGCCTGCAGGGGCGTGGGCAGGTTTAAAGAACAGGCACCTGGCCACACACATAGCCACACACCTGTGCAGAGCCCGCCCTCTGCCCTCCCCGCGTAGGAATGGCGGGCTCCCAGCTGCCGCCGCCACTTCTACTGCTGGCTCTGGTGCTGCTGCTGAAACTTGAGGGGGCTTTCTCTGCTTCCTCTGACAACCCTACAGGTAAGAACAGGTAAGGAGGAGGACATACTTCTAAAAACCTGGAGTGGGGCGTACCGCCCAGCCACACAGCTGGCATCTGGGCCCCTCTCTCAGACCATGCTGATCTGCCAGCCACTTTCTTCCCAAGCGCTGTTCCTTCTCCCAGAAGCAAGATGGGTGGTCATGAGAACAGGTGGAGTACTCACACATCAACTCCCCGCCCCAGCCCTGAGGCTGCCACTTCTGCGACCCCAGCATGACCTGAGCCAGCGAGAGGCTGTATAACTAACCGCCTCATACCCAGTTTGAGGTTGCCAGCCCCCAAGGGGAGCAGGACCCTAGGACCATGGGAGGGGGAACAAGAGCTCACTACACATCTGTGGCCCCCAGGAGAAGTTCTTGGTGTATGACTAATTTTCTTTTGCTGCTATGTAGGATGGTTCTCAGGGTGAGGAGTTGAACTTATTTTTTCTAAAATTTAAATTATAGTTGACATACAATATTAGTTTCAGGTGTGCGATATTCAACAAGAGTTGAACTCTTCCATCACCTCCCTGCTCACCAAATTGTCACTTTCTCTGACCTGTGTCCCAGCCCCAAACCTGTAAAATCAGAGCGGAGGCCACTATTTGTGGGACATTTATTGCAGGTAAGGGCTTCACTTAGAAGGGACCGCATTTATCCCCATTTCATAGTTCAGGTCTCCCAGCCTGTGCTGGACGTGGATTAGAACCAGTTGACTTGGCCCATGCCAGCCTCCTGGTCTAGAAGTCTCTGTGCAAAGCAGACTCCTGGCACTGTGCGTAGAAACAGCTTCACTTTACCTCTGGTCAGCTTTCTAGCAGCTCATGAGCCCCTGCCTACTCTGTGCTAGCCACTCAGTAGAGCTTGTGTTCTCCACTAGTTTTCCTCAGTTCACTTTAAAAGTTCAGCTCCCCAGAATTCTGGCTTGGCTTAGGATCTACTGTGGCCCCTGAGCCATCTTTATTTCTGCAAAAACTTCTCGTCATCTGGATTTTTCCTCAAACGGTGATGGGAAACATTTCGGAAAGGCTGACCTCTTAGTCCTTGACTCCTTGAAGATCCTCGAGGGGCCCTCTTCCCACCTTCCCAGTCACCTCGGGCCAGACTCTATCATTCTGAGCCTCAGCCTTCCCATCTGTAAACTGGGGATGAATCCAGGGCATTGTGCCTCTTCTAGGCTCAGCTGTCATCCCCACAGGGCCTGAGAGACTGGGGATCTGCATGTGGACCCAGATCCTCTTAGGCCCAGTGCTGGGTGTCATTTCTGCATTTCTACTGCCTAGAATGAGGCAAGAGAGGAAGCACAAAGATCTGCCTAGGGCAAAGTGGACAGGGTGGAGTAGGGAGTGGTCAGCCGATGAAAAACTTGTAAACAGCTAAGGTGCCCAGCAGCTTGGAACTAGAAGAAAGTAATTGTGGGAGGTGGCTCATGAAATATTTACCCCCTCTCAGCCTGGCCCCTGGGGTCAGTGCCTGGAAGCAGTAGGAGCCAGGCAGCAGCTGGAATGAGACTGGCGGGGAGGTTCTGCTGACTATTCCCAGAGTCTAGTCCTCTGTCCTCCCATTAAAACTCTGAGTTTGGCCAGCAGGACCTTCCAGGTACCTGTGGAAGGAGATTAGGGTTGATCCTCCCTGGGAAGCTCTGAAGTGGAGCTGTGCAGCTGAGGATCGAGGGGCACCCACATGCGCAGACCCGCATGAGCTCTCAGAGGCACTGACTGCTAGTGATGTCCATTTTAAAGACAAGGAAACTTTTAGAGTCCCAGAAGATTTTAAAGAGTCTGTCTGCATGCTGCCTCGGTTGCAGCCATTTCCTGTATGCAGAAGGTTTCTGGAGCCTGGAAGCAAAAGTAGGGGTTGTGGGGGTCCGACATGGACTGGAACCTGGGCTGTGGGATTTGGACAAAGAGCTCCAGAAAGGGGCACCTCATTTCCCCACTGAACACACACGGTGTACTAAATCCTCCAGGTTCCCCTAGGAGGCAGGGGCTTACTCTCTGGGGTAATAGGGAAAGTGGCATCCAGAGAGGAGATGGGGCCGGGATCACCCACCCTTTTTCCTAATTATCCTCGCCCTTCACCCTCGATGGTGTTTTCTTTCCAGGTGTTATGAATGAGACTGCGACCTCAATTTCCAAACCTTGGACTCCTTTTTCCTCTAGCCAAAGCTCCCCTAGTTCAATGGAAACCTCCACCTACCACTTTAGCTCCCCACATTTAGAAGCAGGCTTCACTAACCACCCTGGTACCCCTAGTTCAGGGAAAGACTCCACGACCTCCCACAGCCCCCCAAATTCACAGGCAACTTCTACCACCCAGCCTAGCTCCAGCTCCACAAGTTCAGGGTTGGCACCCACCTCTCCCCAACCAGAAACAATCCCCCACCTCAGTTCTGGCTCTCCCAGTTCAGAGCTCATCCCCACCTCCCACTCCAGGCCCCCGAGTTCTACCTCCCTGACCCTGCACTGGAGCCCCACTTCCCCCGGCCCCAGAATGGAGCCCTCTCCCCCACCCTGGGCCACCACTGACAATACCTCTGTGGACTCTGGCCGGGGTGAGTTTTGGCAGCGTTGCTGGGGGTTGGGGGAATGGCTAGGGTTACCAGGCTGCAGTTCTGGTTTAGGCCACCAGGGAGCGACACAGACTTGAGAATGTGTTGAGATGGGCCACGCCTCCCCGCCCCAAGTATTGCCTAAAACTTTTCAGGCCTCTTTCCTTCCGTGCACATTTATTAAGTGCCTAGTGTATGTCAGGTCCTGTGAGACGCAGCTATGTTGGGAGACAGGTTATAAGTAAATTCAGTATGTGTTTGTAAAAGAACAAAATAGACAGAATAAGGGGTAAGAGTATGAGTGGTTAGAAATTTTTAAAGAGTGATCAGCAAAGGTCTCAGTTTGAAGGAGGTGAAGGAGGGAGCCACGCGCTATCTGAGGGGAGGGAAGCTCAGGTAGCAGGTCTGTGCAAAGGTCCTGAGGTAGTACTATGCCTAGTGTTTTTGAGGAAGAGTGGGGTGAGTGCAACGGGGTGAGTGGGGTACTAGTGGGAAGGCAACGAGAGTGGGGAGGTTGCAGGGTGACCACACAGGACCCCTGGGGAGTCTAGAAGAATCTGTTTCAAATTAATATGTTGGCTCCAAAATGTTCAAAGAGGAGTGCAAACATGAAGTGTGAGGACCTTTTGCTTAAAGTCAAAGGATGTAAGCCATCTTCACGAAGTGTCCCATTTCTCGTGCACCCCAGGAAGGCTGCTGCATTTGGGAACAGAGTTATAGATTTTTCTCACTTTGCAAGAATTCCCGAGAATTCCTTATGGAAAAATATATTCAAAAGCAAAAGGATAAAAAATGTGCTTTAAAAAGGTTACAGCAGTGACTGGAGAGGGAAGCGAGCATGGCTTACTGAGAAGGGACTTAAAGGCTCTGGGCCCTGGTGGGTGTCTCAGCCTTTGGGAGGGTAGTGTCCAAGGCTGACTCGGGGCTCCTCCCCTCAGCTCCAGGTGACACCGGGGCCCCTGAGTGGCACAGGACCCCAGGAGTGGTGGTGGCTGTGTGTCTGCTGATATCCATTTTGCTCATTGGGTCTGTGGTAATGGCCATGAGGAACTGCCACCAGGGTGTGTCTGAGTTCCGGAAGCTGGATGAGGTGTCCATGGTGAGGTGGGGACTGGGCTGGGGGGAGTCACCCTCCAAAGCAGGGCAAGCCCCTGGTGCCTGAATGCCCTCTTGTGTGTGTTCCTTTTCCAGGGGGACATGAGCCATAGATTATCCTTTGCCCATGACCCACCTGAGTGATTCCTGTGGGGCCAAGAGAGAAGAGGGGTTTGGATGGGGCTGGGGCATCTGGGGAGGGGCAAAGCTTGCAGGAATAAAGCCCCTACTGTTTCTTTGAGGCCTTCTGAGTCATGGATTTGTATGACAAACATTTTTGAGTGCCTATTA